GTTAGTTTATTGAAACATTTTTCCACCTTTTTAATACATTAAGATACATTTTTACGAATATTTTTAACTCTACATGCAAGTAAAAAATACTTAATCAAATAATTAAATTAACAATCCAATAAACTAACTATTGTTACACACCGATTGCAATGATAATTAGGCCTAATTTACACAAGTAATATATTACCACGGTAAACATTTAAAAGTAGATATGAAAACTTTTTAACATTGTTCTTCGTAGTTTTTTGTTATTATTATTTTAAATAATGATATTACTTTAAATCTAAGACAAAATTTGGTACAACGATGGCCATTAGTATAGGGACAATTCATGTCTGATATATTATACTATATTTTACCATTTATTTATTTCGAGCTACCCTAAAACGACTAATTATTACTTCGATGTTTTTATCAATAAAGGGTGTAATTAAGTAAATTTATCCAATGCCATTGAAGATCAGAGAAGAATACAATAGGAAAAATTAACAGTTGAATAACAAATTGTAAATCTAATGCATGTTTGATAACAATAAGTTGTTTTTGTTTTAATTTCTTCTTTTTGGGGGAATTTCAAACATCGTTAGGATAGCTCGTACGGGTTTGATTAGGAATTAATTTAGATAGTAGGGGATGAATCTAAACAGAGGAATGCATAAAATGCAAGGGGAGAGGGCAGTGAAGTGTGACATCAAAATCTGCTAGAATCGAATCGATGTATTTTGTGATGATGTTTGAAGATAATGAATATTCTAATTTTAATGCAATTGTAAATTCATTAATTTATTTTCGATTCTCTATCCCCTTCGTCCGCTTTACTGACGGTTGCGGCGGGTGGCTGAAACAAAATTAAAAAAATATTAATTACCGATTGCTAATTACGTTGGGAAAATGAAGCAATTTGCAAATAATTAATGCAGTACTTTTTTAATCATGTTACAGGTGGCTTGCAATATATTTCATATTAATCGAAATTGCATTCATGGCTTAGTAATGTTTATTACGTGTATGATAATAATAGTAAATAATATCTAGTCAGTTCAAATTTCAAAATTAAATTCTGATTATGTTCAACCCTTAAAATGGGTAGAGATTTATTGAAGGGATATTCATAAAATAAATATTAAAGTACTAGCATAGAATATTTTTTCTTGTACGTATTTAGAAAGTAATTCATTTCTGTATAAACTTTGATAAAGGTGTGTCAATTAACCAAATTCCAAAACTAGAGAAAGGGTAAAGACCATTTGAGGAGGGTAACGACGATTATGTGAAGTTCTCCTTAACTCTTTACCGCCTTTGTCTTTTGTTACATCTCCGGTAATTTATAAGGATTAACCAGACGGAAGCATTAAAGGTATTTTAAATGGTTTACTAAGCACTTGCAAGTCACTAATCTTTCTTCAAACCTCTCGTAAATCACACAATTGTAGGTCAACAAACTACGGTGAGCGTGAAATTAAACCGAATTGACTTTGAGAATTTCACCATAATAATTCTTGTTGACGCGTCTTCAAGTCACGAAGAACTGCGATCCAATTTTCTCCATGCTAAAGACACGATGATGATGATGATTTAAGTCTGTTTTATATAAAAAGACGCACAATTTGCATATTTTACATTAAACAGGTCATAGAGAACCAAGTGTTTCAATTTACTAGCTCGTTAAATGTCCAAAGGAGAAGTGGAGTGCGTCTTGTAATATCTTTTGAACAGAGCGTACCGTTTTTAATTCAGTCACTGAATAGACTATAATTTTGTGCAGGTCGTGCTCTTCATTATTGATGACTTCTTTTCATTATTAAAATTAATTTTCTCGTCTTTGCTCGCCTCGGTCGACGAGAAAAAAAAGAATTTGTCGCGTCTGCATCATCGCCATCTTTAATTTATATCTCTTCTTTTGGAACAGCGACGAAGATGTAGCGACGACGTTGTGATCTCACGAAAGGTCTTTTTACAATTTTAAATTACTTTTTCGTCGCTTCGTTTCTTAATCAGTTTATTACTACAAGGTTGTTAATAATGCAACTTTTAATCATATTAATGAATGAATATTATATTTCAGTACTTTAATGCTTAGTACTTCTACAGCAGTATTAGCATCTAGCAAAGAGGACCTAGAGATAGCTTTAAATAAAATGGAAGCGCAAATGACAGATCAGTACTGTATGAAAATAAATAAAAGTAAAAATAAAATACTGGTATGCAAGGGAAGAAAAAGTAGGGAAAGAGCGAATATAAAGATAGGAGACGGAAAATTAGAAAAAGTGGCTGATTTTAGATACCTAGGAAGTCAGATAAGTGAGGATGGAAGGAGTAGTAGGGATATAAAGCAGAGGATAGCGCAGGGTCGTGTCGCCTTTAATAAAAAGAAGTCACTTCTATGCTCGCGAACGGTTAATTTAGAAATTCGAAAAAGGTTGTTAAAGGTGTATGTTTGGAGCACGGCGTTGTACGGGTGCGAAACATGGACAGTGGGAGCGGCGGAAAAGAAAAGGTTAGAAGCGTTCGAAATGTGGTGTTATAGGCTAATGATGAGGATAACGTGGGTAGAAAAGGTTAGAAATAAAGAGGTATTAGAAAGAATAGGAGAACAGAGGACTCTATGGAAGTCAATAAAAAATAGGCCAGATAGGTTGGTAGGACACCTTCTCAAGCATGAAGGTCTAGTCAGAGACATATTAGAGGCAGAAACAGGAGTTAAGAGGGGTAGACGTAGACCTAGGTTAGATTACTGTTCGCAAATAGTTAAGGATGTGGGTTGTTCTAGTTTTAGGGAAATGCTGGAAAAGTTTAATGCTACAGAAAAATGTAACATTCTTTCTTGATAATTCGTATCTAAAATAAAGAGACAGACACGAAATAAACAGGACCTTTAATAAAATTAACGTTAATATTGGATTTGGATATGTATTTCTGTCGATAAATTTCGTTTAAATAAATTCAATAACTTTCTTAGAGGGGTTGTTTATCTTTCGAGAACATACCCTAAAGGTGAATACATTTTGTAGCTGTAGACATGGCCCTGTTAGAATGTTGGCTCTGGTCCAATTCAACTGTTAAGTTTATAAAACGGTCCACTCGGTTTCAGTTGCAACCGATTTACTCCCGCTAAACGAATATTAATCGCGAAAATGTATTGTTATCGTCTTTCAACAGTTTCCGTTTCAATTGAGTCAAATACTAAAAAACATACGAGAAAAAAAGTGGTTCTTGTGGTGACAATTTTGGTTTATAAACATTTAAAATTGATACATTAATTATAAGACCAAAATTGGGGCTCCAGTCCATAATCGCTCCAAAAATTTTTTCATGGATTTCTGGTCATTTCTGAGGGTCAATGATTATATTTGAGGCGGGAGAAACACGTTTGTTTTTATTACAGCATACATCATAGGGTGTATGGTGTATGTTCCTCTTCTTTTAATATTATTAAATGAATTTTATAGAGTGACAATCGTGAGATAAAGAGATTAAATGCTTGTATAACTTTTAATACTCCCTTGACCTCCTCACCCATCTCTTCACGTACCTACAGTTCAAAACTGTGATTTAAATTTGAAAAAACTATCATTCAAATACTTTTTTATCTTCTAATATCTAAAATATCTAATTCTGTTATGTAGAATGATTGGAAATCGACGAAAAAGTTTTTGGAGCGACTTTTTTGAAATTACATATCTACATTTACCTTTTGTAGGTTTTGACCCCTTTGGTTTGCATTTTTTCGTGATTTGTCGATTCTGTTCGCAAGATGGGTCGCTGTTTGCCTTGAGTTTGTCATTCCTTGTCATTTGACCCTGGGAATTGCACTCACCCCAAGCACCCTTTTCATACCGGCACGCTGAAACAAAAAACATTTTTATAGATATCCGTGAAATTTCATTTTAGATTGATGCCTATCCTTGCTGTGGCTATATGTATGTATATATTTTCAATGCCATTTCCTATTATTCAAAAGCCAATTAACTTTATCAAGTAATTCCTGTCCACAAGGGTGGACGAAGGATCAGGTATTATTATTACAACAAAAGGACAGGGGTTGCTTGGTTGGCTGGCGTTGAATTGTTCTGTTTCTGATGTGATCCCTCTCCAATAAGCTCCTCGCCTAATGCTTTTTAAGCTGCTTGTCGAGGAAGATTTATTTCTACCCCAACCTTTGATCTTACCAAATGCGAAAGTTTTGTCAATAAATCAACAGGCCTTGTTGGTAAATCAAAGATTTAACTTCACAATACTCTGACAAACAAACCTATCACTATTGTGCTGGTACATACATATCTCTACAGGGTGTTTCCTAAACATGCGGCAAAAATTCAAGGGGTGACTTCTGAGATATTGGTTATAGTCAGACTAAGCGAGATTTTCCTCAATATTTTTCTGAAATTTGGTATAGGCACTGCATAAACTTTTAACACTGATTAAGGATCAAAATAAACCCTTTTTAATGGTATTTTTCCCATTTTGATTTTAGAATATGATGCCTCAAAGATTATCCATTCATTACTAGAGAAAATTCTATATTTCTACATCTATGCAAATTAGTAAACTCCTAAGTCGCTATGTGACGTTGCTAAGAAATTTAATAAAACTTAATAAGCATAGAGCCACAATTTCAATTTTTTGAATACTCAAAGAAACATCAAAATTGATTCAGCGTCCAAAGTCTATGCAGTATCGCATACCAAATTTGAGAATTCCGGTGTGAACGTTTTCGAAATTATTAAGAAGAAATCGTGATTAGGGAGACCCATTTGAAAGGGTTTAGCTTCCTTAGAAAGTATTTGTCGACAAATGTTTATAGGAACTTGAGTATTTGTCACATTTTTAGGAAGCACACTGTATATTAGGTACATTTATTATTCATTTTTCATAATTAAAGCACTACCTATTGCAATACTTAGTATCTCTAACGAATCAAATATTGTTTCTTGTGGTATTAAAATTAAATCAAAAACTAGAAAAACTAATAACACTGAAATTATACTGCAATATTTGAAATGATCTTATTTTCTGGCAGTTTGCTACAATGACAGAAATGTAATGTAAGAACAGGAGTATGTAGAATATACATTGCGGTGGATTAAGCTTTTATTCTACACGAGGGTTGAGGGATACGTAAAGCGTGATGGTAAGGTAATAAATGGTGCAGACAATTTGAACGATAACAACGGAGTCTGAACGGAGCCGATGATAAAGGTGATGATTACATAACATTCTGGATGAGACTGTACTTTCTTGAATATTAAATCATGTCGGTATCAATGGAGGGAGACTGGAGATCTCGTCGTTCCGTATATATATATAAATATACATATACATATGTAATATGTAGCGTCGCGTCGCATGACGTCGTCAGCGTCGCTGCCCGGTTTTCGCCCTGCATGGGGGTGCACACTGTAATGTTGATTACGTATGCGACATGCAGGTGCCTTTGAGCAGCTGCAATTTTCATGATATCAATTCATCATACACACACATGCATGTATTCCGTTAACACACTCACCTCATGACGTTTCGCGAAACTGATTTTGCGTCCTCAAATAATTGATTCAGTATACGTATGTATATGCATACTACGAGTGGATTTCGGTAAAGTTCCTAATTTTAGCGGAGTGAGAAGATCGATGATGGAGGTAATGCATTAAAGGGTCTAAGTTAAGGAAAACCTAATAGAAAAGTTACTTACAGTTTAATTATAATATAACATTAAAATTAGGAGTAATGATAAATCCCCAATTCACCCATATACAGTGGATTTCGGGTGTAACAACGACGAAGGGACCACTGTAATATCTTCGTTATATCCGGAAGTCGTTACAGGCAAAGCCAAAGAGATATAGATACGCATGTATGGTTTTCACCACTTTCAATTTTGAAATGATTTCCACCTTTTCTATCACAGTTGCTACATAGAATAATATCACTGTGTAACTGAACATTTATAAATAATTTCCGAGATAAAAATGTTCAGTCTCTCAGAGTCTCTGAAAGCGAGACTCGAGCCTCCTCATTGAGTCTCGCTGGCGTCGCTGAGAGAGACTGTCAAAAAAACTGTTTAGTGTCTCTGAACGAGAGACTCGAACTGAACGAGAGACTCGAAATTAAAAATTTTATCGTTGGAGTTTCTCATACAGAGTGTGAGAGATCCATAAAAACATCTCGGCAATAACTCAGAGACTGTGAAAGACTGTGAGAGACTGAAAATTTTTGTCTAAGGTTGTAAAGGTCACCATAGTAGCTAACCATCTGTGTTAATGTAAACAAAAGATGAAGAAGTTCTTTGTGTCTTTGGTGGCCGATTAAGGTCGCTATATTTGCATCTGGAATATCTAGGAATTTCTTACAAATTATTCATTAAAAACAGTCGCTCACCCGAACTCGGCGTTACATCCGAAGTCGCTATAGCCACATGAAATTTGTACTAAAATGCTTAAAATTCAAGGAACGTTGCTATAGTAGAATGGTTGCTACAATGAGACCAACTTAAGGTTTGTCAAGGTTGTGTAAAGAAAACGAATTCTAATTGATTTCTTTTACCTTCTTTGCCCGTTCGTGTTCACGTAAACTATGAATCGACATTAACCCTACAACAAATAATGTTCCGATTTTTTCGACAGCCTCATTGCTAATAGGTGCAAAACCATTTTTGTGAATCGAGTATTCAATTAAAACTAAATGTTACTCGACTATTTCCACTTTAATTCGGATTCTACGTTTATTTTCGACTAGCTCCGCCCTTTTCTGGTAAAACATTTTTGAGCAACTTCTAATTTTGCGCTCTTAGCGGAATCGATATGGAAATTTAATTAAAATTTCGTCGATGAACGTACGAAGCAAACACCGACTAATTAAAAAACTATTCCGTTCGAATTAATTTAATTCTCTTGTTCGTTTAGGAAAGTTGTTCAACGTAATAGTTTTACACGGCCACCAACCTCCGGGTTCGTTTTGTACGTTGGCAACCGATCTTATTTCACAAAATTTAGCAGGGATTAACCAATAGATAAAAAACGAATTAAACATCAGCCAAATAATACTTCAAACATTCTTATAACTAATTCAACAACAGCGAAAAAAGAAATTTCTCCATCTTTTACACGTTCGTTACTATTACTCTACGTAGAATGGGATTTTTGGTGAATGTGAACAACATGAAAAGTAACATTAAAAGCGTAGAAACAAATTTACAGTTCGTAATTACTCAGCACCGTTTTCTACTCATGAGGGTGATTAATTAAATCTAATTGTAGTTTCGTATTACTGCACCCCTTATATTTGAAGGAGGCCGGAAACTCCAACATTTATCAAGAAGATTTACGATTGCAACTGTACGGACTCAGGAAGCGCATACCGTAATTATGAAAAATATTTTTTGAGAAAACGGTCGTCGTAGTTGAAATTATGAATATAATCTATGTAGGTAATGTAAAAGAAACAGAACATAGACAATCAAAATTTTATTGAATTAACTTTTTGAAAAGAATCTTTCTTGGACCAGTTTAAAAATGCTTTCAGTATCTCTTGTTTCAATTGTTCAACCAAACTACGAAAAAATTGTTTGATTGTTCTTTGTAGTATGGACTAGAGATGCTCCAGGCAGTGATTTTGCCAGATAGTAGGTACTCAACAAAACCACTTCGGTTTTCTATTAAATATCACTCTCACAAACGTCCCGAACCAGATTAAGTCCCTTTCAAAAAGTAGTTTAAACAATCAATCAATTCTACTCGGTATTATTCTGCCAAATCCTAAAAAAGTGCCAGATTCACTTGGTACCCGATCCAAACCTGGTACCATCTCTAGTATGGACCTTCTATTTAAATTTAGGGTAGTTCGAATATTTTCTAGTTGGTGTACAAATCCAAAATGTATGATCCTGCTTCATCCAAATTGTTTTGTAATAAGCATTTTGGATAATTCGCCGACCAAATCGAAGTTGCGCCGTGAAAGCAAGTTGTTAAAATACTACGTTATTGGCAGTATGTCCCGCCATCTACCGAAATTTACTTGTCAAGCTGAGTATATAACGTGATGCAACTTTTTTTATATGTACACTATCCAGCTAATTTATAAACTGGCCAATTAAATACTTTAATCATAATATAAATGTGTATGGAAGTATAAAATTAGTCTTTTTCAAGTTAATAATTTTGAGATTCAATTTGAACGAGTTAAACAAGTTAAACGTTTCGTAGAGGTTTCGATGCGTATAGAGTACCGAAAAATTAACGTGGTTGGCAGAAATAATGTTTACATTAAGCTTTAAAAGCGCAAGGGTTGTACAACTTTTCTTGAGTTAAAACGTATATTAATTTTCGGCTCGAAGCGACGACGACGCATCGAAGAATCGGGTAAATATAGAAACGAAGTTTGAAGAAGGGCAAAGCAACGAACGAGCCCGTCGTCGCGGAATGCCAGAAATTAATTAATTTCGACATTAATTCGTACTCAGATCTCTCTCTTCTCTTCTCTGTGTGTATCACTCCAACCCCTTTAATCCCTCTGCGAAGATAGGAATTACCTACTACGAGCTTATCCCAAACTTCTATCCTTTTTAAGCTGTTTTACTCTATGTTACCTTTTACATAACGACATTAACTACACTTTCGTGTTACGAATTGCTTACAGGACGAAATATTTAATTAAAATACTTCTCTATAGGATTACCTAGAATTTTTGTACATAGTTTACCGTTATCCGTAAGGAATTTGTGCATTAAGTATCACCGTTTAAAACTACATGTCTGTTGTCATATAATTTCAGAATCACTGAGTGGATTTTGGTGCAGGTTTTACTAGAAGTTGCGCTTGAATATTTTTTCGTTACCATTTAACAAATTTT